AGGAGGAGAATAAAAGGGAGGCAAAATGGGACAACTAGAATAGCAAAATCAATAAAATATTATTAAAGTAGTGGCTGTAAAAATGAAAACACGGTTTGAAGTGAGGGGAAATGAATCATAAGCGTATCAGACTAAAAGGATGAAGACTCAGTAGAGTGAGGACCATGGTGAAGACAGCCCCTCATAGACAACCCTTCCCCCACTGATAGTTGCACATCCTATACTCCCTTGGGCTCAGCTAGTGGGGTGGACTCCAGCCAAGGTCACAGGAAGGCTTGGCCAATGTCTCCTCTCCCCAGGAACACGCTTACCAGAGTTCCCAGGAATTGGTGCAGTTCTTGCCTGCACTGTCTTTAGTAAGAAAAAGGCAGACTCAAGACGCTGCAGGAATGGGGCTGCAGCAGTTAGAGGGACCCCCTCAGGATACAGTTCAGGCAAGAAACCCTAGAGATGTTCAGGGAACAGAGAATATTGCATGTATGTCTCTCTGCATCTGGGGTTTTTGTGACTAGAGGTAATAAATGTGAACCCCTGCTTAGCCTTCCATTTGATGATAATAGGAAGGATAAGGCAGAGTGATGGAGGAAGAACTGAAGTACCAATTGAATGGGGAGGTCATCATATCAGGGCCTCCTGGGGGAGGGCTGTGTAGACAGATTCCCCATATCCTACACCTGGGCACCCAGCTTTTGCACACAGGCACCAGCAAAATTTCCAGAATTCTCCTTTGTTTCTGGAGTTCATTGTTTTGGGTACTCATGTCTGGACCATCCAAAAAAATCTGCCTTTAGGTAGACATTAGGAAGAACCATGATAACTTCATGGCAGCCGTGGCAGAAGACACACAACACACAGCTTGCTGGAGGTACAGTGAGCCTGACAAAAGGTAAGTGGTAATCATTCTGTCTATGTCCAGATTCTGGTTCCTCATGAAGAGCACTGAGCCAAGTGTCATGTTGGCAAGCCCCTGAACACAGGGTACCACTTCTGGACAGACTGTGGAACAGACAGACAGCAGGGTAGGCCTCATCTGTACAGGGGCACTGGAAGGTTCTAGGTCAATTCAGAGACAGAGACATGTTCATGTCTGCACTGATTTTTGGTTATATTTCTTTTTGTATCTGAGTTGTTCCCTAGTTTTCATAAACCACAATTTAAGGAAACAAAATCATGACTTCTAATAAATTATTTTTTTAAAACCCTCCCCCAAGGACATGTTTATAGATTTCAGAGAGACAGAAAGGGAGGGAAGGATGGAGGGAGAGAGAAAGGGGAGGGAGGAGAGAGAGACAGAGTCAGCAATGTGAGAAACATCACTCGGTTGCCTCCTACAAATAAATCAAGGAGGATGAACCTTCAAACTAGGTATCTGACTCACCTAGATATAGAACCACAACTTTTGGTGTATAGGATGATGCACCAACAAATTGAGCCACTGATGAAGGCTTTAATAACTTCCATGCCCAGAATCTGATCTCCCATGAACAGCCCAGAGCCAGGTGCCATGTTGGCGGGGATTTGATGTGCAGGGTCCCACCTCTGACTGCACTCTGGAAGAGACGGACAAGAGGGTGGGCCTCACCTGCACAGGGGCACCAGCTTCCCTCAGTCTTTCCCATTTCCTGGCATCAGCCTCTTTTCTCATGTTGCATCTCAGCCTTGTACCTGGGGAGGCCACACAGACCCCTTGGACACCAACACTGTTGCCCCTGCCCCAGACGCTGAACCGATCCTAGCTCAGGGTCTGCTGACTGTTCAGGGGGCATGGATGTACACGAGTGTCTGTGTGTCTGTGTGTCGTTGGTGTGTGGCCAGGCACAAGTGGGTATCATGTCAGCTGCAGGAATTCCTGAGCCCCAAACAAATTAACTTTCTAAACAATTCCAGGTCAGTCCAGTGAGAGAGGTATGTTCCTGCTTGCACTGATTTTTGGCTAGATTTCTCTCTGTGTTTGAGTTCTTCCCTAGTTCTCATGGACCTCTACTTAAGAAAATGAAATCATAACTTTGAAATCTTCTAATAGAAGCCTAATAAACAAACAAACATCTCCTGATTCATAAATATCACCTCAATGAATGCAAAATGACCCTTTTGTGCAGCCAGCTCCCACCGAAAGAGACAGTGCTTCCAGCTCCCTGAGCCCCCCAAAGGAATATTGCAGCTCTGATGTCTAGTTAGAAGAGAAACGTGCTTGCTCTTCTAATCTCTATGGAAGTAATAATTCAGTGTGTTCTCCTGGTGTCTGGCTGTGCTCACGCATAGGACTGGTAGATGGGTCATGTGTCAGATGTGGCTGCAGCATATGCAGGCTCATTGTTGTGGAGCTTTCAATCCTGTGAATGTGTCCCCCACTCCATGTTCATGGCACTCTTGATGTGATGACCCAGAATCAGACATCAGGAGAAGTGTGGCAGGGGAGATTCTAATTTTGGGTACACATATGGACATCTTTTTGTAAGAGAAATAGAGAATATTAAGGAATGAGTGAGATAATAAATAAATGAAAAAATGACAAAAGTAAGAAAAAGTGCACCTCTGTGTATTGTCATTTATATGCATGCACCTGCACATTCACATCTTTTGCCCACTTTTCTACTTGATTACCTGTATATTACTCAGTTCAAAGTAAGTATTTCACAGCGGTTTCTACAATTTCTTCTTGACAGCAGTTTACTTGGATTTATTTAATGGACTTGGAGATGGGCCGCACAATTTGTAAAAAACATGATGAAGACATTGACAACTGCCCTTTGCAAGAAGGCCCACGCAAGAAAAAGGTTTGAGAATAAAAGCAACCCAAAGCATCAAGAACCTTCTGGGAATGAAAAACAGTATTAAGGAAAGCCTATGAGAGGAGGCTTAGGAAAGTCTTCAGGAACACTCGTTGGGCAGACTGAGAGTCCTGGACCCTCTCCCCCTAGGCCTCAGGGACACTCTTGGGGAAGAATGACCCTCTCCCACCAGGTCCCAGGGCTCCCACCTGAAGGGGGAAGGTGGTCATTCTAAGTAGAGCTGCTCCCAACAGAGCAGTGAGCCGAGCCCTGTGCTCCCAGCCTGGCTGACCAGACACACCCTGACCATACTCAGCTGCCTTTCCTCCCTAAATGGAGTCCTACCCTTGGGTCTCAGCCTCAAAGTTTCCTGAACCTCGGGGTTCAGGCAGGTGCTCTTTTCCCTGCGGTCCTCACTCTTTCTTTGCTCATATTCTTCCAGATCCTAGACTGTTTATTCACTCTGGTCATCCCACCTCTCCCTCTGGTCTCCTGGGTGGCAAGGACATGCTCCATCAGTCCAAGCTCTTGTTCACTTTCCTATGAGACGACATCTGTTCCATGGGACTCAGACCTTGGGGATGGGCTTCAGTTAGTGTTACACCATCAGTGGGGCTGGTCTCCCCCCTACTACCCCAGTCTTGGCAGGGGGCCAGCATCCACTTGGGGGGGGTGGTTTGTGATTTCTGCTGAGTGGGTGGATGTCCACATGGCTCATCTCCTGAGCAGTGTGCTGGCTTCCTAGAATTGACAGGGCAGAGGCTATTCATGCATCATCAGGTGCACTGGGAGACCCCTCAGAGTCGGGTGCTGGCCCCATCAGCCATCCTCTCAGGAGCCCCTGAGCTCAAGAGAGCAGACTCAGGTAACCTCTGCCTATCATCGTGGTGGAGCCTTGAGCTTTCTAAGTCCTAACCAGGCCACTGTTTGTGTGTTTCTTTTCTTTCGTAGTTTTAAATGAATCTTGAGCTTCTATTAATTTCTTCATGCTAAGTGCTCTCATGTGTTACCTTGTTCTGAATTTATGTCTTGCAATTACATTTTTCAGGTGGACTGCACTTTTGTGGTGGATGCCCGACCATGGATTTCCCAGTTCACCCTTCTGAACAGCACCTGTGTGCAGAAATAGGTGGGGAAGGAGCTCCTGGCTTCTCACAGGAGAAGATTCTTTTCCTCTAGAGAGCGACAGTTTGTCTGTAGTTAGGTCTGTGAAGCACCAGGGGAATTAAAGATATCTCAGAGCACTTTCTGGACCCCTGTCAGTCTTGCATTCTCCTGGATTGATTATTTTCCACGGAAGTCTCTGCCAGTGACATGTAGTAGAGAATTTATCATTATAATTGTTCTTACCTTGGCTGCAGGTGCACAGTGCTGAGTGAATCAAACTCCCCAGTTCATGTGAGGCTGCCCCCATTGGTCCTTGTAGAGTCTCACTGGTTTGTTTGTGTTCTTATTTGTCCATCCATCCATCCATCCATCCATCCATCCATCCATCCATCTGTTTATTTATTTATTCTCCAATTGATTAATGCCCCTCTTCCATTTCATTCATAGGAATGCAGACAATTTTCCCAGCGAAAAGCCTCCTGTGTCTCCTCTGCTTACTTATCTATGACCATGCTCACTGTGGGGTTGCCCTTCTGGAGGTATAAGCCCACCCCGGGATAATAAAAATACCTCTCTGTACTGCCAAGCATGGGAAGGCCTCATGGGCACTTCGGTCCTCAGGTGCTAGAAGTAGTATAGAAGATTGTGTCCCCACCCAGATACTGACCCTTCTGATGCTTCCTTTGGTTGTGGGCTGCAGTCAATGTCAGGAGTTTCCTGTGGTTGTGGGCTGCAGTCAACGTCAGGAGTTGACCTGGTTTTTAGATGAAATCCTCAGGACCCAGGGCTAAGCCATATTTCTAAGAGCTCCTGTGACTTTGTTATGCCCATGGTATACTGCTGTGAGGGCAAGCAAGGTGGACCTGGGCTAGGGCAGGAAAAGGTAGCCCTGGAAACATGTAGGGAACAGATCATGTGGCATAAATATCTCTGGGTTCAAGGATTATGTGACAAGGGGTTGAAAAATGTTCTGCCTCTGTTTGGTGATGACAAGGCAGGAAGTGAGGAGGAGGAGCTGGACAAGGTGCCAATCAGCAGCTCAGGAATTCTGGAGGGCAGGGCTGCGTGGGATTACAGTTATAGAAGCAGTCCCACAGCAGCTGCTACACAACACTTGTGTGCTGCTGGTCTCCAGGGCTGACACCATATAGCATGTTCCTGAAGGTGCGTCTGCTTCTGGGGCTCATTGTACTTGGGTCTCCTGTCTGCAATTCCAGCTTTGTGGACATTAGTAAGAGCACACGTTTCTTTGCCATGTGTGTGGAGTTTGCGATGTTTCAGTTCAACCAAGCTCACGTGGATGATTATGCTTACAAGCTGCTGTGGGTGGGAAGAAGCCAGCAAAAGGTAAATAGTGCCTCCCCCTCCCTGAGGCTTTAGGTTGGTCCTGAAACCAGGCCTGGGTGGGGTGGGCATAAGGGGTGAATCCTTGGTCTTCAGAAAAGAAAGGACTTTTTTGTTGTTTTCAGTAAATATTTTTTAAAATATAAAGTATCAATTAGAAGTGCTTCAAGTTTCTATTTTGTTTCCTTAATGAGTGAAACCCCTGAAAAACAGAGAAGGAAAAACAGTAGAAAGGAAAGCACCAGTGTCAGAGATTTAGCTGCAGTGTGAAAGAGAGAAAACCCACCTCTCAAGTGAAGTAGCTGAGAGAAGCAAGGACTGCAGAGACTGACAGATAATGAGAAAGGCAAAGAGAAGTGGTAGCTGGAAGGCCTAACTTCAGGCTATGGCCAGGCTTCTGGGAGACTCCCTGTACTGATCAGTGGGCAGAATGCTGAGATGTTTCCTGCTTGAAGTCCGCAGGCCTTGAGCTTGCAGACACTGTGGGTCCAGGCCTGGGTGGAAGGCAGCAGAGAAGATAGACAGACGTGTTCTCATGAGACTGATGCTGGTGAAATAGTGGAAGGATAGGATAAGAGTTGTTCGTGCAGGGACCCAGGGCTATAGGGAGGCAAGGTATGTGCAGGGGGGAGGTGGGTCAGAGAGGGACTCTCTCTGATGCGCACTCCTCGAAGGACCTGGTCACATGGTGGAGGTTTAGGGACAAGAAGGGGAGGCAGCCAAAAAGAGGTCCATGGATCAGGACAAGCCACAGGTGTCCTGGGGAATTGCCTAAAAGTTTCTGGACCTGTGTCACAGAGGAAAAATGTGCAGAGGGAGGTGGGTCTGGGGCATCTTCAGAGCCACAGGTAAGGAGTTAGGACATTATTTTCAGAGTAATGGGGACCCATGGAAGGAAGTCATTCAGATCCTTTAGCAATATCTCTCTGAAGGTTGTGGGCATAGTGGGTTCCACAGCCTGGGGGCAAGCTGAGACCATGAGGTAGAGATGGTCTCCTGGTCACCAGGAGGTAGAAGCAGTGCTGGCTTCTGGGTATGCTTAAAGGTGGATGTGGGGTGCACTGATGTGAGGTATGGGAGAAATGGTGAGGTCAGTGGCAGACCCAAGGTGTTAGCCTTTGAGCACATAGGTGGACAGTGATTCTATCACTGAAAAGACAATGTGGTAAGGTTGTGAGGAGACATGAAACAATCTAGGCAGAACATATGATATTCAGTATTCCTGACCAGCTATGGAAGGTCAAGGAGGCAATGAATTACAGGGTTTTAAGGGTAGGAAGTAGTTGGGCCTTAACTAAATGTAGATGTCATTAGTATCTGGTTTATGCAAACCTTCCCACTGATACTTATTCTTACCAATTCCCGCTTCCTTTGAATTGAATGGTGCTGTCCTCAAGTCATTCTGTCCATGCCCAGAATCTGATCTCCCATGAACAGCCCAGAGCCAGGTGCCATGTTGGCGGGGATTTGATGTGCAGGGTCCCACCTCTGACTGCACTCTGGAAGAGACGGACAAGAGGGTGGGCCTCACCTGCACAGGGGCACCAGCTTCCCTCAGTCTTTCCCATTTCCTGGCATCAGCCTCTTTTCTCATGTTGCATCTCAGCCTTGTACCTGGGGAGGCCACACAGACCCCTTGGACACCAACACTGTTGCCCCTGCCCCAGACGCTGAACCGATCCTAGCTCAGGGTCTGCTGACTGTTCAGGGGGCATGGATGTACACGAGTGTCTGTGTGTCTGTGTGTCGTTGGTGTGTGGCCAGGCACAAGTGGGTATCATGTCAGCTGCAGGAATTCCTGAGCCCCAAACAAATTAACTTTCTAAACAATTCCAGGTCAGTCCAGTGAGAGAGGTATGTTCCTGCTTGCACTGATTTTTGGCTAGATTTCTCTCTGTGTTTGAGTTCTTCCCTAGTTCTCATGGACCTCTACTTAAGAAAATGAAATCATAACTTTGAAATCTTCTAATAGAAGCCTAATAAACAAACAAACATCTCCTGATTCATAAATATCACCTCAATGAATGCAAAATGACCCTTTTGTGCAGCCAGCTCCCACCGAAAGAGACAGTGCTTCCAGCTCCCTGAGCCCCCCAAAGGAATATTGCAGCTCTGATGTCTAGTTAGAAGAGAAACGTGCTTGCTCTTCTAATCTCTATGGAAGTAATAATTCAGTGTGTTCTCCTGGTGTCTGGCTGTGCTCACGCATAGGACTGGTAGATGGGTCATGTGTCAGATGTGGCTGCAGCATATGCAGGCTCATTGTTGTGGAGCTTTCAATCCTGTGAATGTGTCCCCCACTCCATGTTCATGGCACTCTTGATGTGATGACCCAGAATCAGACATCAGGAGAAGTGTGGCAGGGGAGATTCTAATTTTGGGTACACATATGGACATCTTTTTGTAAGAGAAATAGAGAATATTAAGGAATGAGTGAGATAATAAATAAATGAAAAAATGACAAAAGTAAGAAAAAGTGCACCTCTGTGTATTGTCATTTATATGCATGCACCTGCACATTCACATCTTTTGCCCACTTTTCTACTTGATTACCTGTATATTACTCAGTTCAAAGTAAGTATTTCACAGCGGTTTCTACAATTTCTTCTTGACAGCAGTTTACTTGGATTTATTTAATGGACTTGGAGATGGGCCGCACAATTTGTAAAAAACATGATGAAGACATTGACAACTGCCCTTTGCAAGAAGGCCCACGCAAGAAAAAGGTTTGAGAATAAAAGCAACCCAAAGCATCAAGAACCTTCTGGGAATGAAAAACAGTATTAAGGAAAGCCTATGAGAGGAGGCTTAGGAAAGTCTTCAGGAACACTCGTTGGGCAGACTGAGAGTCCTGGACCCTCTCCCCCTAGGCCTCAGGGACACTCTTGGGGAAGAATGACCCTCTCCCACCAGGTCCCAGGGCTCCCACCTGAAGGGGGAAGGTGGTCATTCTAAGTAGAGCTGCTCCCAACAGAGCAGTGAGCCGAGCCCTGTGCTCCCAGCCTGGCTGACCAGACACACCCTGACCATACTCAGCTGCCTTTCCTCCCTAAATGGAGTCCTACCCTTGGGTCTCAGCCTCAAAGTTTCCTGAACCTCGGGGTTCAGGCAGGTGCTCTTTTCCCTGCGGTCCTCACTCTTTCTTTGCTCATATTCTTCCAGATCCTAGACTGTTTATTCACTCTGGTCATCCCACCTCTCCCTCTGGTCTCCTGGGTGGCAAGGACATGCTCCATCAGTCCAAGCTCTTGTTCACTTTCCTATGAGACGACATCTGTTCCATGGGACTCAGACCTTGGGGATGGGCTTCAGTTAGTGTTACACCATCAGTGGGGCTGGTCTCCCCCTACTACCCCAGTCTTGGCAGGGGGCCAGCATCCACTTGGGGGGGTGGTTTGTGATTTCTGCTGAGTGGGTGGATGTCCACATGGCTCATCTCCTGAGCAGTGTGCTGGCTTCCTAGAATTGACAGGGCAGAGGCTATTCATGCATCATCAGGTGCACTGGGAGACCCCTCAGAGTCGGGTGCTGGCCCCATCAGCCATCCTCTCAGGAGCCCCTGAGCTCAAGAGAGCAGACTCAGGTAACCTCTGCCTATCATCGTGGTGGAGCCTTGAGCTTTCTAAGTCCTAACCAGGCCACTGTTTGTGTGTTTCTTTTCTTTCGTAGTTTTAAATGAATCTTGAGCTTCTATTAATTTCTTCATGCTAAGTGCTCTCATGTGTTACCTTGTTCTGAATTTATGTCTTGCAATTACATTTTTCAGGTGGACTGCACTTTTGTGGTGGATGCCCGACCATGGATTTCCCAGTTCACCCTTCTGAACAGCACCTGTGTGCAGAAATAGGTGGGGAAGGAGCTCCTGGCTTCTCACAGGAGAAGATTCTTTTCCTCTAGAGAGCGACAGTTTGTCTGTAGTTAGGTCTGTGAAGCACCAGGGGAATTAAAGATATCTCAGAGCACTTTCTGGACCCCTGTCAGTCTTGCATTCTCCTGGATTGATTATTTTCCACGGAAGTCTCTGCCAGTGACATGTAGTAGAGAATTTATCATTATAATTGTTCTTACCTTGGCTGCAGGTGCACAGTGCTGAGTGAATCAAACTCCCCAGTTCATGTGAGGCTGCCCCCATTGGTCCTTGTAGAGTCTCACTGGTTTGTTTGTGTTCTTATTTGTCCATCCATCCATCCATCCATCCATCCATCTGTTTATTTATTTATTCTCCAATTGATTAATGCCCCTCTTCCATTTCATTCATAGGAATGCAGACAATTTTTTCATCCCTGCTCAAGTCAATGGGTGTTATTCTTTTGGTTGTGGGTCATGCCTAATCATAGGGATGGGAGGTAGATGACTGAAGTTGACTGAAAGCCCTGTCTTCCATGTATACTGATTGGGGCATTTACACAAGGAGATGCGTAATTAACAAGAACATCTTTTCATGTTCTCTGAAGAGGTCTATGTATGGCAGGTCCAGCCACTACATCTCCACTTGCTCCCTGATGCCTGTATTTCTCCATTTGGGCCTACTGTGACCTTCAGGGCTATTAACACTAATCACTTTCTCTGGGGCATGTGCTGCAGCCACTGACACCCACCTTGATGAACAACCCTCTCTTGGTAATTCCTGGTGGGGAGCAGCCCTGTAGAAACAGATATATGGAGGACATGGGAGGAGGTGGGGCATGTGTGGGACAGAGACACAGTGGCAATTTCATCTGGAGGATTACTTCACAATGGAAGTGCTGATGGGACTTCCCTCATCCCTCCTGGGTTTCTGGGAACTCTGGTTTAATTGGCCCCTAGTCAAAAAGCTGGCTATTTCCTGGCCATCCCACTCCCATGAAGTGGTTATAAAGGCTGATGGCACCAGATTTCCACAGATATTTGGGGATAGCTCCAGTGCAGTCAAAAACAGTGACCTGGGTAAGCTTTGGCTTTTGACCAATCTGTGTGTAGAGTTATTACATCTGCCCACACTTCAATAGGGGTATATATAAACTTACAAGGCAGGTGCTTAATCAGCAAAGCTAGCATATTGCCCACACTTGCATATGATGGCAAGGTTTCTAGCAGCTGAGCCATTGTTCATGGGTCAAGGACAGCTAGACCCTTCTTGAGTGCCAGTTGACGTTCCTCACTCAGGTTGGAATTACCTTCACCTCTGACTCCCCATTTACATCATAAAGACCTGGTGTCCTGCTCTTTTTCACAATATTTCAGTTGTTTCCTATCTGAATTTGTATGAAAACACCACTGGTTTTGTTTTACAAATTTCCTAGAGACTAGGCCATAACTGTCTATTTCTCCTATAGAAGAATTTTTGTGACCTGACCTCAGAAATATGTAAAGTCCCCAGGAAATTGACACTTGTGGCAAAGTTTATAAAATGGTTTTCTAAATAACTCCAATATTTAGAAATTTTGTAGGTTGCAGTTAGTGTATTTTTTTTGTGACCTATGTCTTTTCTCTGATTCCTGCTCTCACAGAATGAGATTAAAAACATCCCCATTCACTGAGTTAATGCCCACAGGTCTTTGGTAATGTTGGCACATTTTATGCCTGACACCACTGTCATTGAACCCACATTAGTAGTTTTTTTAATGATGCATCACTCACTAATCTCTATCAGAAACAGGAGCAACCTATCTTGTGTCACTGCATCCTGGAGAGATTCTCCAGAGTCAGTCCAGTCACTAGTTGTCCCAAATCAAAAGGGAGTAAAAGTATACTTGAAAATTATCATATAAGCACATAATATGAAAATTGTCACTTATTTTAGAAATTCTTGATTTCCATAAAACCCAGACTTTTTTGGAATTATCTGGCTTGATATATTGGAATACATTTGCTGAAATTGGGGCTTAACCAAAGTATTAGTAGTGGAGTCTTTGAAGGAAGATGTATAGGCAGAGGGTAGGATTTGGAGGAGAAATAGGAGAACGATGCTCCCCACAAGTTGGGTCTAGTGAATTTTGAGTGATGAATTTATCTCCATGAATCCTTACCACCAGCCCTTTTACATTTCTATATCAGGACACCAGCAACTAGTCTCATGGTTCCTTGCTGTGGTTTTCTGAAATTGAGCTCAGGGTCAACTGAGTTCAGCACCAACTAAGTTCAGCACCCTTATCACCAGTTTCCCTTTTAACTCTGTGGTTTCTAAGCATAAAGATTCTTTGTTATTATCAAAGAAATAAAGGCTTAGAAACACTTACAATTAACCACTTGTTATTTTCTTTTTATAATGCTTTCCAAATATTATTTTCAGAACAAAATTATACCATCAGTTGATCAACCAGCAAATCAATGTCTCAAACTATGGCATTTGTTAGGATGAGCCTCTCATCCCTCTCTCCAACTGCCCCACACTCAGGTGCCACCTCTCAGCATCTGCCCCAATGTATTCCCAGAACTCCATGAACCATGTACCATCTCCTCTTCTAGTTTTCTTACTGTACCCCATTTTCAGACTTTGCTACTCATTAAATGATGACACCTATTATACCTGAAATTGCTTATATTTTTCATAGACTTGTTCTATGGTTTACATTCTGTGCCTAGTTTTTAAATAAATATAAAATATTATTCAAATCATACAAAGCTTCAAATCAGTTCTATATTTTTAAAACATAGCATTTCCATCACACAGTCAAAAACAGAAAAAAAAAAGACAAGACATGGTAGGGCAGAAAAAAGATAACTAATAGAAACAAACCTGAGAGCTCTCTAGACAGTGTGGTTATCAGATATGGACTTTAACATATTCAAGATGAGTTGGTTCAATTCAAAGATGAATAATACTTGGAAAGAAGTTGAAACTATCATAAAAAATAAAAGGAAAGTCCTAGGGCTGAAAAATACAATAACTGAAATGCATAATGAGATTGAAAGGTCAGCTGAAGGGAGAATTAGACAACAGGATGCAGGACAGAGAAGATGGTGCAAGATGAAAAGCATGAGAAGATCAATGTGAGATCTGCCCCATAGTAATATTTGAAAATTGAAAACCTGAGTTATCTAGAACCGACCAAATACATCAAAACATTGTTTTCAGCAGTACTACAAACCTCAAGCAAGATAAAAAAAACAAACCCACAACTGAGCATGAGCTAAAAATAAAAATTAAGGAGAAAAGTCTTAAAATCAGTCAGAGGTAAAAAAAGATGTTTTATCTTAAAATAAGCAAATATCAAGCTTTCAGCCACCCTCAGATAGGAAAAAATAACAATCAAAATGCATTGTCATGCATCTTCTAAGTAATTCTTTAACCAGTAAATATATCTCAGAAATGCATATAAAGCAGAGTAATTTTAAACAAACAAAATGGAGTATAGTTGTTACCAGTAGAATTGTTCTAAAATAAATACTAAAATAAATTTTTGGGGAAGAAGGAAAAGAATCCTAGATGGAAAAATTGTATGGTAGGAAGAAAAGAAGAACACTTCAAAGAATAAATATTTGGATAAATACAGATGATATATGGACTGTAAAAAATGATATCTTATTGAAGACTGTAAAATACATATAGAATTAGTAAACATGAACATCATAAGAGAAAACTTGGAGAAGAGTAAATGTAGCTAGAATGATGTAAATGAACTGAATGCTCTAATTAAAAGGCATATCTATAGGAATTTACAAAAAACAAACAAGGCATATTTAGTTTACTTTTTGAAAAACATAAGAAAACAAAACAAAAAGAACACACATCCTAGCCCTTGCTGGTGTGATTCACTGGACTGAGTGCCAGCCAGCAAAGCAAGGGGTCATTGGTTTGATTCCTGGTCAGGGCACATGGCTGGGTTGTGGGCCATGTCCCCAGTAGCGGGCGTGAGAAGCAACCACACATTGATGTTGCTCTCCATCTGTTTCTCCCTCCCTTCCCCTCTAAAAATAAATAAATAAAATCTAAAGAATAAAAATAAAAATCATCTTAAATAGAGGAAGACAGATTTTGGAAAAATAAAGATGAACTAAAGTACACTATGCCAACACTAACCAAGAAATGTCAGTATAACAGTACTAATATCTCATAAAATTTACTCTAAGACAAGAAGCATTGTTTGAAATTCAGGGAGCTATTTTACTAATGAAAATATTCACCTGTCTCAAAATAGTTAAAGCAAAAACAGAAATTAAAAAATCAAATTGACAATCACAGTGAAAGTATAAAACATACTTTTCAGAAACTGGTAAATCCAACCTGACAGAATATATCAGACAAAGTTTTAAACTCTGACACAGAAGTTCTGAATAACATAATATCAAATCGTCTTGAATCACTGAAACACTGAATATGAATACATGGTCTTTTCAAGTGCACAAAAAATTTCCAGAATTGATTAATTGTATGACACAAAGTAATTCCCAACAAAATTCACAGATCGGATACCATGCAGACTGTACCATTACCACAGTGAAATTAAGGTAGAAATCAATAAGCCAACACTATTTAAGAGACTCCTCAAGCTCAGAAGAAGCCTCTTCCTTTCTGTAAACCCTTCTTATCTCCTAAATTGGCTCTCTCCTTGCAAAAGATTGAAAAGGATGGGGTTGAAGGGTGTGCTGCTAAGGGGGAGAACATTTTGGGGGTTCCTTTTGGCGGAGTCTGGCTCAGGCCAAAATCTTATGTGTAACTTTTCAGGTCCGACATATCAGACAGTGCAGCAAGGACTCACAGCTCTCTCCACCCATGAAGGAAATACTCAACAGCTGAGGGAGGGAAGGAGGGAGGGGGCAAGGGAAAGTGGTGAGGGGGAGGCAGAGACAAATGTATTTGAAAAAATAAATTAAAATAAAATTAAAAAAAATACTTTTCACTTGAATAAAGAGTGGATGGGTACC